TCTATAGATTTTGCGAAGAAAGTATTTTATAGTTAATTTCGTACATATTTTACTTCAATTTTATTAATTAGTTTTAAAATTTGAATTCTTATATGTATTTGCCAGCAGTGTAAACGTTCGGAGATATTGTAGTTGAATTTTTTCTCAGACTTTGTATATAAAAAAAGGAAAAAATAAAAACTGTAAAGGGTTGGTCAAATTAAGGACCGTCCTAGAAACCAGTTCCGAGTCTATTCGATTACTGAGTATGAGGTCTTATATTGGAAAAAATGGAGAGTACCTATAAAGCACTCAAAATGGAGGAAATTAGCCTTTGGTTCAGAAGATACGGAATAAATTAAGCGGCGCAGACGCAGACTTCTCTCAAAGTGTTTAGTGTAAAGGTTACAATTTAAAAACAAATTGATAAAATCAAAGTACAATCTGTAAAAAATTATAAATAACGTATCTACTCTCTTCGCAACATCTATTATTTTTCTAAAAAATTTGGGTATAAAACTATCCACATTACAGCATAAATTACATTTTTTCGATTAAATTACTTCACATAAATGAAGCAAGTTCACATTTTCTTTCATAATAAGCACGTGTACGTACGAGTGTGTGGTTTGTACTTGATTTCAAAAAAGCAAATCGTCAAATGGGGGCTAAAATAAATGAAAAGAGGAGCACAATATTAAACACAAAAATATGTATTCGTTCTTGAGAAATTTTGATTTCAAAAATTTTTTAATTTGCGCTTTGAGCTTTGACGACTCTTGTAGTTGTTGTTTTCGCCAAAGCATGCCGTTATGCTCACCTCAATGATCTCTATCGATCTCCATAAATATTTTTTATTTTTTTATTTGAGAGTCTGAGCTATTCAGTATTTATGCCGTATTTTTTGTGCAGAACATCTTCCCCCGTTCGCTTTCTTCAGCCACTCGTCGAAAAAAATAACCTTCCTAAGTACAACTCCAGCCATGCTGATTACAATATTACTGCGCGGAATTTCTTTTCGGGTTGGCTCCCTATGGCCGCGCTTCAAAAAAATAACCCCTATGAGTCGCACTACAGCAGCGCCATCCACAGTATTTTCGCGCAGAACTCTCATCGAAATTAAAAAAGTGCATATTTCAAATCGAATTTATAATAAATAATTATTATTAGTTGGCCGCCGCTCTGGTGTAGTGGTTAGCAGTGCGCGCTACCACCCCGCAGTGCCTGGATTCAAACCCTGCTCAAAGTAACATCGCAAAAAAATATAGAAAAAATGTTTTTTCTTAACAGCGGTCTCCCCCCGGCAGGCAATAGCAAACCACCGAGTGTATTTCTGCTATGAAAACCAGCTTCTCATAAAAATACAATCACAGTTTGGAGTCGGCGTAAAACTGTAGGTCCCTCCCTTTTGTGTAATAACATCAAGGCGCACGCCACAAATCGGAGGAGAAGCTCGGCCAATCACTAACATATGTGTAAGCGCCAATCTATTATTATTAATAAATTATTGCTCGGAAATTTTAAATCTATATTTTGAATTAAAGTTTAATATCTTGACGTGTATGTTAAAATGTTTTTATTCGGGTGGCCTTTTTGGACACAACCCATAATCATTGTACAAATAATACGTTGTTTACGTGAGGCGATTTTACAGTCAAATTTTAGTTGAAAGCAACAATCGCCTAGTGTGAACCGCGTTTCTACTAATCGTTTTGAATGAAGTCTTTTCGATTCAGCACGATTATGAGAACTGGGGCGACAAAGTTTGGCCATGGACGTCGATAAAGGTTTTTGGAGAAAGTATAACGGTACATTTATTTTTGTGGCAAATGAAAACTGCAGGAGTTACCAAGGCTCAAATGTCAAATTAAGCATTTTTTTAAATCCAAATATGTATCGCGAAAACGAAAGCCCGGATTTCAATTGGAAATATGAATGCCTTTAATACGATATACAAATGCTTAATATATTTTGTAAAGTTTTACCAAAAATCGAATTTATGGAAAAAATAGAAACAATTAAAAAAAAAAATTATGGTACGGTTTGTTTCATATTTAGAACGTATTTTACTTAAATGGAAAGAGATAACTCCCAAAAAATTTTTTTTTTTTTTTATTAACCACTAATAAAAGCTTGTCTTTAAATTTTTTATATTACTTGCTTTAATTCTCAAATTAATTAATTTAAAAATTTTATGACTAAATAGTATATGAGTCAAGCTTTCATTTGATATATAAATAAAATCCATCTCGATTATTTATTTAAATAATTGATTTTTTTCGTAATATCAATTTACCGAATTTCTACGCTTTCCACTGTATATTTGCGTAGAACTCCTCTTGTCTTGTATGTATATAACATTTGTTGTGCATATGAATATTCAAGATTCGGAGGGGTTGATATCATAGTATTTTCACGCAAAACTTCTTTCTTGTAAGGTTGGCACTTCCTTGTAAATCGTTACTTTAATATAGAAAGACCCGTGGGGTAGGGTCGTCGGTGAAATACAAAAATCCAAAATTAACTTTTTGATTCATTATGATGCATTTCCTCGAATTATAAGTCCCCACATAGTTCAATAAAAAATTTTTGTTGGTTACGCCTTTTTTGCATTTCAGCGACGATGTGAGATAGGGATTCTCTATATTAAGGTAACGAAATACATTTACATTTTGTATCACTAAATTATTAAAACTCACAAGATTATACTAAAATGTATATATATATATATATACATACAAACGAAATTAAAGGCAATAACTCGGACTTCCTATATAACCAACCAAAATCACATTGAGTTCATATTGAAAGGGGGTTGACATTCACTCGCCGGTGAATTGCAGAACCTGCCTGAACGCAAATTTTTTAGCATTACTACTGCAATTTTTAAACAAAGGGTTACTTTTTGGTATTTTTGGCTTATAAATATAAACAAAGTAAGTTAAGCAAAAAAACAAAATCGACTTCAATTCGCATATAAAAATTTAAGATTACCGTTAATTGCTTCATGATGCAATGATCGGATCTAAACCAAATTAGTATGGGACCACCTCTGAGGTACCACCTTATCGAAATCGGTTGACGAGGTTCAAAGTTATGCGGTAACATACACTCAAAGAAAAAATTACCCCGAATTGATAATCTCCTCCTTTTTTTGAAGTCAGTTAAAAAAACATTTGAATTACATACGTCCATCGCATGAAAGACAAATTAATTATTTTTATTTTGGCAGATTTGTGAGATATCAATATTTCAAAATATCCAAAAATTTCACTTAACCTCAATTTAAATTTCAATTTATTTGTTTGATATCGTTTATACATAAGTACATTAAGATTAAATCTTTTATTGCACAATAAAGAAAAGTAAAAAATTAAAAAAATACAAACATTAAGTACCTATAAGTATATAAAGTATTATACAAAGTTCTTCTAATTTTTTGCTACTGGAGGACTCCAGCTTTCCGATGGCATGTTCAAAATTTGTCGACCCGGTTATCGTAATCACCCCTTTGATTTGACTTAAGGCCTCTAAAATAGTCTGTAAAATCACCTCATGTAAACACCGTATAACCGAACCGTACCAGTGTAAATAAATAACATTACAATTACTTATACATGTACATATATCTTCAATACACTGTTAACCATCGTTTTAATAGCACCAGCGCATTAATAGCACAACAACAACAGGGCGAAATACATAACGACTTTATCTAAAAAAGCAGTTTTGAATACGAGTTGCAATGGCTACAAAGTGTACACGTCAACTACTTTCCGATGTGAATAGCTGTGACCTGCCTGATTTCATTAAGAATCTAGTTAACAAAATATGCGACTTCTACGATGAGCAGGATTATGTAGATGTAACGTTTAAGTTGTCTAACCCCATTGCTATGTAAGTTTTCAACTTACTTATGCATGTAAGATATATTTATTTGATTTCCATTTTTACAGGATTCCAGCACATCGCTTGATA